GAGGTTGTTTTTTGTTCTTTGCTTTTTTGATCTTTTTGAGACTTGATGTAGGTTTTCTAGGAGGTGGCCGAAAACCAAGGACCTCAAACCCCCAGGATCGCAACTTGGGACCCAAAGGAAAAGCAGGTTTCTAGGCCTTTCTTCTTGGTGCCAAAGGCAAAGCAGCTCAGAACAATCAATGTGTGTTTTTTTTGAGGGTCTTTGGGAAATGGCGGCTATAAGGATAACCGGTCTTCGGCACACCCAAAGACTTTTCCCTCTTCAGTCAGTGAGACACCACGTGATCAGACCGTGCTACATTTTGACCAAAACCAATGAGCCCATTCAGCTTTCTTCTGCAGATCCCAGTCCCAGGAAGAATCTGATTCAGATTCAGGTATTTCAAAATAGGGTGACCTTTCAAACATCCCTAGGCCCTAGTACTACGAAGAAGAGTGCAGGGCTTTCTGACGAGAAACCTAACCATGATGGAAAAACACATTCTAAAATCCACTGTGCAAATCCATACCACATCCATGTCACGTTAGTTTTTCAGTCGGCCGACGAATGGTTTTCCCACGGCGAAATCCCTGTCGCCCAAACCGAGGATGAGCGACCCGGAGATCGTGAACTGGCTGGCGGCCATGGACTTGCAGATAGCGGACCCCAACGCATTGCTTCTTGGAAGTCTTTGGTGTGTGTGAATATGTGTGAATTGTTGATATGACATCAGTGTGCATCAGTCCATTTGCAGAACTGGGTTTTGGCCGCCTCTACTCCGTTAAAACACACATAAGACTGGCCATGGATGTATGGTGAAACTCAAGACATCGGCCCGTCTCACGCTCACTTGAGACTGATTCCAAAGTGCTGAGGGGATGTTGAAGGGTGTCTCAACATGTTGAAGGGGTGTCTCAAGCCTGGTGGGATATACGTGAGAGGTTTGAGGCATCAATTGGCTCGCTTCTTCGTGTGATGGCTTGAAAAGAGGTCTAGAAATGAACTAAGAATGAATCAACTGGCAATTCTGAATTGGTAGGTCTTGCATGAAATGAATATCATGCAGTTTTGGGATTTGAACATCCATCAATATTCAACTTCTTCCAGAGGTGCGCTTCCCATCACTCTTAAGACATCCAATGCATCAAATCCTCATACCATCCTGTTTGGTCGATCTGTGTTTACTGCGTTCTTCTGCCTGACACTGTGCTAATCCAAAGGGCCGAACCGATCAAGGGCCCGGATCCAAGTTGGACAACGGCTCAAGAAGATCTCAAGAAGATGGCATCCAAACCCACTGGTAGAAAAGATAAACTGAACAGCCGTGGATGCTGTTTCATCCAACAATTTTTTGTTTGACCACAAAAGAACCAATGCCAGCAAGCCTTTGGCCGCTATGGAGCCACAAAAACCATCAAAATCGAGGTTTGAAATGGTCCAGGGGGACCTCGCAGAGAGCGAGAAGAGCGAGGGCACCATCAATGCCGAGCAGTTGGTGATGGGCGTCTCCCGTTTGAAAGGCGCTGCCAGGAGTGTCTCGTAGCGTCCGTTGACCGTCTCACCGGAAGCGCTGCGGTTGCGCACGAAGGGTTAGGCTTTTTTGGTTTGCTTTGATTATCTCGCTCGGTCGCATCCCTGGCGGTGTGTTGTAGACTGCAAGACATGTGACAGCGTTCCAGAAAGACCATTATTGAAATTATACAAATTGTCTGAATCCTTAATTACTGCTGCTCGTGATTTTGCTGATGATCAAAGGTACCATTCTGCTTTTTTTCGTAGAAAAGAATGCTACTGCCCAATGAAGACCTACTCTTGGAGATCGTGATCTTTGCCCACCGGCTCGACCAGTTTGATCCAGGTTCCCACAGCTTGTGTCAAATACTTGTTGGGGATTTTGGTCATTTTGAGACAGACATGGACAGTCTAGTAAAGTCCAGAGTCCAGAGTCGCTCGTCTATGGCATCAGGAGCACTGATATGCACACTCTGACGGCTGAAGTGAGGAAGTTGCACCACAGGTGGCTGAGCCAAAACGGGAGTGGTTCTTAGGCAGATCTACCTCAAATGAACATGCTACTCAGGAAACGTTTGATGATGTTTGATGCATGCACTTATGCTGTTATATGCATGTGCATCTTTAATTGTGTGATATGTTTAGGGCCATGGACACCCGTGGGTATTGCCTTTTGAGGTAAGTGGCAATATCAGCAAGAACTCTCATCAAGAGCCACTAGCTCCTAGTTAGGCCACTAGCGCATCGGGTCCCATGTGGATCATCTCATATGTGGATCAGCATCGACCAAGCTTCGGATGTCACCACAGCGAACATCCTCCAACCACTTCATTGCGGGGAACCAAATACAAAAAGGCTTCGAAAGACCACCCTTCCTTGGGAGTATGACTAGTAACAAGAGCATCGCTACTAGTAGCAAGGACGCTACTAGTAGCTCCTGGCATTACTAGTAGCAAGAAGCTACTAGTAACAAGGGCATTACTAGTAATAGCAAGGAAGCTACTAGTTCTCCAAATCAGTCGAGTGTTGTTTCATTCACAGCCTCGCCCGAGGTTCGAAAGGGGGGGCGCCTCGGCCACGTGCGGCGGAACCGGCGGTTCGGGGTTCACCGTCCGGAAACGGCCCAAAGCCTTGACATCGGATAGGGATCCTGTTTGATGCGATTCCGGAACTACGCAAAAATAGCTGGATTGGAACTGCAAAAGGCGTTCATGTCTAGACTACCTGTGAGAACTTCTGAGAGGGGTTGAAGATTCAGATCCAAATTTTGGTGAACCTCCCGCAGATTACCCCGGACCACCTTCAGTGGCCTCCCTCAAAATGTTTGGAAGCTCAAATATTTCAGTAAAGCGACTAAGTTGGCCATGCCTCATATGCCTGGTAGAAGATAGTAAACATTATAGTTTGTGTTTTTTCGATTCGGCGTGCCTGGGTACCTGAAACCCAAGTGCCCCAGATACCGATGGGAGGATGAGGCATCCCGCCTATCATTCGACTGGATGTTGCTGATGTTGTGTATCAACAGCTGTTTCAATCCTTATACGTACCCGTTCAACAGCAATTCCACCAAAAAGAAATCCCTTTTCACGTCCTTTTGTTTTCATTTCCAAGAGTTCCTTGTGCAAGTTCGGCAAATTTGGTGGTCAGAAAGCAACCCAGCAGGCTCAGCAAATCCTATGTCCTATGTAGCAATGACTTCATGTGCCAAACGAAATGGACCTCTTTGGTCGACAGATTTTGATGCTAAGGCGGTCAGGTTCGACCTTCTCTGCCGGCAGCAACAATGACACCTGGCCATTCAGGAATCAGGCAGTTGATGGCAGTTGAACAGGTCGTAGAGAGCTTCTCTTTAATATGTTTAAGTCGTGATCACACTATGCTCAAATCTAACTTTTGGAACACATTCTCCTTTCAACAGGGTTATGCAAATTATTTGTCAGTTATTTGTCTTTGAACCCACTGGTGTGCAGTTTTTCCAGTTTGACGATCCAGCCTCTTCAGGCGGTTCTTTTTAAGGGGCGCCCTCGGCAACTCCACTACACCCCGCCACACACGCACACACCGATCGAACGAACAGATCTTGGGAGACCGTGACGTCGACCGTGACGTCGACGGCGTTCGGATGTTCTGAGCTGAGGCCACACCGATACTTCCCAAGGCAACGGTGTCCCGATCTGGGGATGAGGGGTGTCGATGTCAGCGAGGTTGGAGAAGGTGTTTTAAGAAAGGTTCGATCTTCCGATTCCACTCGGCCAGGCCGCAAGGCAAATCAAAACAGGAGTGCCAGTGTGAAGAATGCTAGTTTTTGTTCTTTCCTGCGAAGTCACCGGGGTCACCGGAGTTGGACACAGGTCGAGGAGATCTGAGCCTCGGCGGATCCGAAAACGTCCTGCGGGGGGGGCGGCAAAGCTCCCCCCCTCTGCACCAGAGCGACTGGGCTGTCACCGGCCGGTGACCGGCCGGTGAGTTGGCCGTTGGTCATCGGGATCCTGGTGAAGTGCTCAAAAGAGGAGGAGGTTCACGGGATGCAACAACTGGTTAAGGACTTGACAGCAACTTTGGAAGCCAATTCATTGATTCAGGACTTGCAGCTTTTGAATCGAATTGTTTGATGTGCAAGTGGAAGGATCAGTGATTCCCAGGTTTGACTCCAATCCGTTCGAGCACCAGTAATTTGTACTTTCAGGGCCGTCTAGAATCATATTCTTCAATAAGTGTTCAAAGCACCGAAGCGGGATTGTGCAAAATTCATCTGGATCCCGGGTCCGTCTCTCTGCTTTGCTGTGAGCTGTGCCGAAGTTGCTACAGTTCTTGCAGAATTTCATGGATTTCAACCCATTTCGAAAGAATCTCCCGTGCCCTTTGCACCAACGATTTGATGTTTGTTCTTGCTGAACCGGACATAGAACTCACCATGGGCTCACCACTACACGAGGTCCCTTAGACTTGCGCAGAAAGGACGTGAAAAGATATGAAGATTACTCCCAGTATAGAGGAAGTTTTTTCCCCATCCCCTCATATCCTCTTCTGAATGGTTTGCATGTTCCGATCGGGTACTTCTTGAGGAACGGCAGGGGTGCACGCAGACTGGACAAAGTGACAAAGCCTTTCAACAGATTTGGATGTCTTCGGACGTTTTTGGATGTCGGAAGAACGGCGTACGAAAAAGAAACGGTTCTGCGAGAAGCCCGCATGGCTGCTAGCTGCTAGCACCATCGTTCTGTCGTGCCTTTTATGTTGGATCTTGGTTTACCACCTGAACATAGGATCCGCATGGTTTGATCCAAGCAAGGAGCACCCCACTTGTCCCAATGAGAAAACACTGAGTTCTGATTAGTTCCGAGCTGTTTTGAGACTTTTGGTGGGAACCACGAAGCCCTTTGTCCAGATCGGATGATCGGTAGGAACCGCCGTCCGCATGTATTTGGCACGTGTTTGACCAGGTCGACCAACCCTGAAAAGATGAGCTTTCAACATCGGACGATTTTCTGCCGTCGGCCCCGACGCAGGAAGCGTTGAGCCGTGTCGTGATCGAGCCGGGCTTGAGATTGCACCACACAGCCCCTGGGCACGAGGAGATGAGCGCAGACTAAGATTATGACTTATATATAACAAGGAACGCCTTTGAAATGGTGACCAACCATGACGTAGTCTGGTCCGCCATGTAGAACTCTCACCACGTTCGCCAACTGTTCCTCAGATAGATGGCATGGAGGCTTGACGTTGTGCGAATCAGAGCAGTGAGTTGTGTTTTGTACCATCACACAGTATCTCATACATGGGGTATCCAAACCACTGCGTGTCAGTGAAAACGGCAAGATCATTGGGTTATATATTATATATATTATATATATATTATATATATATATATACTCAAGCAGTAGGAATGGTATGTTGGTTTGGGTTGTCGCTGACCTGATTTTCAAGGGTGGACGACTGAGCGACAGGAAACCCCAAGAGACTCTGAAACACCAAAATGAATGTCATCAAGGTGCAACCCAGTCCAAATGCGGGTTCGGAACCACACGGGAACCACCCGGAACCCCCACACATCCTGGGGCTTGGTGCATCTCCTTCGCATTTGGATATTTGAGTGAAATGTCTTGAGAGCTTATCCAATAGCGCAACCACAAATGTTTGTTGGGAGTTTGGAAGGGGATCGTTGAGCCGAAGAATCCACAGCCATTTGTGTGTGTGCAGTCGACGGCCAATGTGGCTCGAAGCATCGCTTCATCCGGTACTGTAGCTGCGCCACCTGGCTGCTGAAGACACAACAGTGGAGATTGACTAAAGCTGAGGTATAAGGAACTGTTTTGTTTCTTTTTAAATTTGAGGCTGGTATCATATGCGTTTCCTCCTGTTCTCCGAGGTTTTCTCGCTTTGTCACTGTCTTTTGGATGTTTCTGAGTTGGCGATTTGCTAGATCTTTGGACCCCAAAATATATTTACGAACGAAGATGCCCGATGCTTTAGCCGCTCCTTCAACCATCCTTAGCATGTTCTGTGATCATTATGACCTGTTGAGAGTAACGATATTGAAAGGAGTCAAAGGTTTGTGTATGCAGTATGCATGTCTGTACATACTTTACCTTGTCCCAGTAGCATCACAGACCAGTCTAGATGTGGTTTTCTGCCTGCTATGGTCGTACCCGATTCGAGTGACCAGTAAGGCACACATCCGCGGATGCGATGTCCTGTCCCAGGTGTTTATGCGTTGGCTCCTGGCATGCTTGCTGGCCCTAGTTCCAGCCCAAGAGACAGGACGCCTCACGTGCCTGCGTGGGCTTCTGGAAAAGGAGGCTAAGGCCTCTGCGCTCATGTCGAATTAGGATGAATTAGGCGGACGATCGCTGTGTTTTTTCGGGTGCTCCAAGATTCCGTTTGACGGCTGGACGAGTGACGAAGTCTATATATAAGCATATATCAGCTAGATTTAAGTCTCATCCAGTGGCTTTCATGTGTTTCAATTCGTGGTGGCAACGACGGGGCTTCGACCGACCCGTCTGGAGCGTCTGAGCGTCTCTGGATGTGAGGAGTCGAGCCCGACGGAGCGGTCCAGCTGCAGCTTCACCGAGTCCGTGATGACTACGTGGACCTGCTCATTGTCGTGCCGAGTGAGGCGAAGGAGGTCCAAGAGCGCAGATTGATCAGAGACAGCTGGGGCAAGTACCTGGCCGATGGACACTGCAAGGCGAAGTGTTTGAGCCAGCTGTTTGTCTTTCTTTTGGCCAAGAAAAGAGAGCTCTTTTGAGTGGGGTTGTTGGATGTTGGTTTTGTGAGTGAAGAATCAGGTGCCGTGCCGGGCCGTTTTGACAAGGTGGAAGCGTCGCAATTTTTTTGCAGAACCAGCGCATTGGTGGGAGCTTTTTGGAGGGCATTGGTCCTTTTTGACAGATCCCATTAGCCCAATGAATGTGTTCCAAATGCCGGGGTCTCTTGGTTCTGGTTGTTGGTCCTGTAGGTAGGTCACCAATCAACGAAAACAAAGCGGTTAAGATGATGGTCATTCCCCGTGCCCTCCGGTGACCTGAAGGCATGGTCTCCCATGGGTCTGCTGGCGCCAGGTGTGCGGCTCCAATCGCCGTGTGAAGCTGCTCTTCGGCCTCGGGGCACGAACCAACCAGTCCCTGCAGGAGGCATGGCATGAGAGGCAAAAAGGATCCAAACCCTGGTTGAGGATGTTTGACAACACTTTCTGCTAGCACCAGACTGACATGTTGTAAGACTTGTGAATGCAAATGGATCACTATCCCTGAGAGGAGAAGGATTGGGCAGATGTGGCAGTGCTGTCACTGGACTCGAAGCTTGACTCCCCGAACCAGCAGGCCATGAAGACCCGAATCCTGATCGCACACGCAGTGGAGAAGTATGACTTTGGGCTGTTGCTGAAGGTGGGTAACTCAAGATGTCCGAGCATTTGTTGTTGCTTTGCATGACAAGTTAGGTAGAGAATGAATGGATGCAAGTGTCCCTCAGATCAGCATAAATAAAGACGAGCCTCAATGATTCCTGAGATATGGTCTCTCCATGAAAAGGCTCCAAACTACAGGCACATGGCTCGGTTTAGTGTGTTGTTCCTCCCTTACTCAGGTGGACCCTCACTCCTTCGTCTTCCTGGATCGCTTACTGTCTTTGGCGGAGGGCAAGAAGCTCTTCCCCTCGGACGAGACACCTGAGCCCTGGACCTAAGACTGCAGGTCTTTCTTGCTTTCTCCCATGGTAACGCCAAGGAGGCATATTTCAAGACATGTCAGGAAGGTGGGCCTGGGGAGTCGATGACCCTCTCATGTGCGAACTAGTGGAAACCTCCTGAAATCTGTTGGGCAGTTGAAACAGGCACATCCGGAAATCCCAGGATATCTATGGCGGGTATTTCGCCTATCAGGACAAACAAGTCAAGAAGATGGAGGGCTTCTTGGCATCAAAGCTGAACAAATGACCCTCGCAAACTGGACGGGTTGTATGTTCATGCGACACCAAGAAGCTTTTGCAAGGCTGGCTTTTCTGATGAGTCTTATCTGCGCAACGCCATGCGCAACGGCCCAAAGGGGATCCAAGGGGATCCGTTAGAGTTCGAAGTCGTTGATCGGCCGTCCAGATGTGTCATCCTTGGAACTACAAAGCAATTACAGAGGCAGTAATTGAGGCTTCTTTGATGACTGAACCCTTTCAAAAGCTTTCCGAGTTGATTCACGTGTATTCGTTTCTGTTCTCTTGGTGAGGGTTGGAAAGTATGAGTGGGGCATAGTGGGGCAATGATGTTGGAAAGTGTTCTACCTGACTCCTCACCCCGGGTACCGCACCCGTGGGGCAACACCGGTGCAGCACCTGCAGAAATCAATAAAGCATAACTCGAGAGAGTTATTTGCAAAAGTGAAATTGCAAAGAAAGAACTACTACGTTTGCTGCGGAACTACTTTCAACTCTTTGGCCGTCGGTTTTTTGAGCGTAAAGGCCCTGAAAGAGCTACTACGTTTGCTGTTCAGAAACACGGACCGACGACCTTGACGACGGTCGTTTGTGGTGCATGAGGCTCCTACTTTCACAAACCCAAGTGTTATCCTTCATTGAAACCCGCTTTGACTTGGTGGGGATGTTGGAGCATGTGACGGCACGTTGCCAGAGATTGAGGTTTCGGAGGATGCAGGATGCAGAATTGTTTGTGAGTCCAACAAAGAGTAGTTGCTGAGCAAAGGATGAGCCGACAGATCGTGCCCTTCTTGTGTTTTGGCCTACTTACATAATACAATCCAGCACAAGGGTCTTTTGGGTCCTAGCTTTACAGAGGCCTGTTTCCCAAGTCGGCGTTCGAAACTGATGTCCTTTGCCGGTCGCCATTCCTTCCGAGGAAAATTGAAGGATCTGGACTATCGAAAATTGACTGGCCATAATCGATTCCCGAAGTATGCAAAAGGCGCTGGGTATTTGCTTAGCCGAAGACTTTGCAGATGCTTGGTGCCAGAAAGTATGTCATGGTTTGTGTGCCGCTCTGCTGTTTAAGAGGCACCTGAAGACCAGAGGGCAGACACCCTCGTTGAGAGAAAGCTTCAAATTGTGACAATTGTCCAGCAACATGTCCTCTATTTGAAATGAATACAAGCAAGAGCTATGGGTCCCCTCACCAACAATGCAACATCTCTCCAAAACGGTGCTTGATGATTGTGAGTTCCCGGGTCTCATCTTGTTCTTATTATTCTTTATAGTCTTTGCTGTACATTTGCCGATTCAGAAACCAACCAATCAGGAAACTACGATTCAGAAACCAAGATTAAGAAACTAAAACAGCCGATTCAGAAACCAAGTTGGACGGTTCAGAAACCAAACCAGGCGGTTCAGCAACCAAAACAGCCGATTCAGAAACCAAAACAGCCGATTCAGAAACCAAAACCGCCGATGCAGAAACCAAGTCAGACTATTCGAAACCAAGCCAGACGATGGTTGCAATGGGGTGGAGGGCAGGAGGAGTGTGGGATCCCCGCCGCTCCGCGGAGCTGTGCTGGACCCAGCGGCGGTCTCTCTCGCTCCACGGCACTGTGAGCGTGGGGGGGAACCATGGCCAAGATAATAACATTCCATGTGGATTCATTCAAGATCCCCCTTGGTATTTCCATTACAAAATCGGTGATGATACCATCATATACCATCACAAAACAAGCATTTTTGTAAAGAATGGTCTGCTCATGTTGGAGGTGGCATGTCAGAGAGTCTGAATTTATAGAGAACACTGGAAATTACGAGCCTCGATTCTATAGAGAATTATTGTATATGAACACATGTCTTGGCAAGGTCAAGAAATCTGATTTTATAGTCAAGCAATGATTGAACTTTACATGTCAAGGGTCTCAATTCTATAGATTTTGTATTTCCGGATGGTTTCTGTGTCTTTCCAAGGTCACATGCCTGATGCTGGACATGTGTTTGCTCAATGAACATGCTGAAGTACTATGGAGTTGTGGTAGCTTTCATGGAGGACTAAGTTGCTAGAGGCTTCCAGTGTAGTCAGATTTTGCAACCCAAAGCCTGCTATTCTATAGAGGCCCTACTACCCAATAATTGAAAAAATGCAGTTCGAAAGTACCTTGTGCCCTACGATTCTATAGTGTTTGTACTTGCTACGTTTACCTATTTTCCATGTGCCCAACCCAATCCTATAGAGCTGGCCATGATTTTCAGTCTCACAATCCTCAATTCTATAGAGCTCAAAATGCAGCCTCTCATTTTGGATGTCATATGCAGCATTTTATAACGATAGAATCGGTGCACCCCCCCTTTAATTCCAAGGGGGATCATTCAAGTAAGAAAATTTTTGTATTTGCAGCATATGGCCGAATAGAGTGATGGGCATGATAATAACGTTCCATCTGGTTGCAACGGGTTTAAGAATATGTCCGTATTTACAGCATATGGTTGGACACAATCGGTTGGTTTCTGCATCGTAGCTTTCTGATCGTTGTATTTACAGCGGAGTGTAGCACGCTGCCCCTAAAAGCGACGACACCTTCACGAGCATGTGTAAATTTGAAAGATGAAGAAGAACTTGTTGAGGATTCTGCCATGCTAGTTTGGCATGGTTCGACCAAAAACGTTTGTTGGTCTGTATGCTTGTGACTGCCAAGAGAGAGCGAGAGACACGTGCACAGTTTTTGTTTTGTACTACTACTACTACTACCACTACTACTGTACTACTACTACTACTACTACTACTATTATGTTGGGCGATGGCAGCCATACATGGCCAACCATCAAATATGTGAAAAAAACAAAATAAAAGCAAATGAAACTGCAAAAACAAAGCAAAAAGCAAAAACAAAGCAAAACAAAAAGCGAAAAAAAAATAAAAAAACATAAAGCGAAAAAAAACGAAAATAAAGCGAAAAAAAAGTGAAAAAAAACGACAAATATGTTTTTGCTGTACCCTCCTAGCAAAAAAACGAAAAAAACACGGAAAAACACGAAAATAAAGCGAAAAAAAATGCGAAAATAAAGTGAAAAAAAGTGAAAAAAACGACAAATACGCACAGCTACATTTTTTTGTTTTTTTGTGTGCTTTGCCTTTTGTCTTTTTTTTCCTTTGTTTTTGCTTTATAAAACTATTTTGGCTCCTTGTATCTATGGCTGGCGTGCCCGACATAATACTACTACTACTGTACCACCACCACTCCCACTGCCACTACTACTACCACCACCACTACTGCTACTGCTACTACAACAACAACAACAACTACTACTACTACTACGACTATTACCGCTACCACTACCACTACCCGGATCATCAGATTTTTCTTTTGGAATGTTAGGTTGTTTTGGTTTCCTGGTTTTGGATACCGAATCAGTGGTTTTGGTTACCGAATCAGCGGTTTTGGTTACCGAATCAGAGGCTTTTGGTTACCAAATCAGCGGCTTTGGTTACGGAATCAGCGGCTTTGGTTATTGAATCGTAATTACCGACGTTGACCTCCATCCAACACTTCGACCTAGTCTCTACATGCTTCGGTTCTTGAGATTTTCCGGCAAGGCCTGATAATATGCCGTGCAAACATGTTCGTTTGAGGTGTTGTGTTTGAGACCTGGTTCCTGCAAGGACGACATGAGCAGCACGCGAAACCTATATGACCTTATAATGGTATATATAACTCATAATTGCATAGGATCTGCACAAATTATAGCGAGGACAAACGAGGCAACGAGGTGGCTTAGGGAGAATCAACGAGGACAATCTTAATTTCGTTCCATGAATTAAGAAACTGACGAGGTAGCCTCGGATGGTTCCGGTTCAAGTTGGAGGTGGTTAAAAAAAGAAAAAACTTTTTGGGCTTCAATAAGTTGCCTTTGCTTGGCTCTGAACGTCAAAGTGATTGAATGGAATAATAAACTTTTCAAGGCCCAGAAAGTTTTTTTTCATTTCCCAGGGCCAAAGGCATCTTCTCTTTTGGACCAAAAGTGTGTGTGATCGGTGCTTCTATGAGTACACAGCCATGAGTATGCTCCGGGTTCTCGTTTCGTCTCATGGGCACGAGCTCTACAAGGTTGATGTTTGCCCAGAAGGCACATGGAAACCTGTGCCTCAACCTGCTGGAGTGTAAAATTAAGAAACTGACGAGGTAGCCTCGGATGGTTCCGGTTCAAGTTGGAGGTGGTTCAAAAAAAGACCTTTTGGGGCTTCAATAAGTTGCCTTTGCTTGGCTCTGAACGTCAAAGTGTTTGAATGGAATAACAAACTTTTCAAGGCCCAGAAAGTTTTTTTTCATTTCCCAGGGCCAAAGGCATCTTCACTTTTGGACCAAAAGACGAGAAGGCACATGGAAACCTGTGCCCCAACCGGAACCTGTGCGGATCGCTAGCTGACGAGGTATGGGCAGGAAACTGGGCAGGAATAACTTTTTCCATCGGGAAGAGTTTATTTTTCACCACTTCAGCAATCCAAATGATACTGTTGTATTAGTTTCCTTTCGTGAATTAACGAGGGACAGCCCTAATTTGATGACCCGAATTAGCGGACGAGGACACTAAACGCGGCCAAGAAATTAAGCCCACGAGGGAGACGACCTAAGAAATAAAGTAACTTGCACAGATAGGATGAAGTACGTAATCTAAATTGATAGAAAAGAAGACCCTCCAAGATTGTTTTTTTATTGCACTGCGTGTGATGTAAATGTTGATGTGGTTCAGCCTTTGCTTTCATTAGATATTCCTTGCCTTAAATATCCTGAGTTCAGCCTGCGAATGCTCAGGACACATTGCCAATTTTCCAGAAGATAACAAGGACGGGTGCCACCTCTTGAGTCGCGATCGAAGAGAGTTGAAATCGGGAACCAGTCAGGCACTAGGAAATCTAGAGTTTCATATGCATTTATTGTTTGTAATTATTGTCGATTTCAAGATGTTTCTACATTTCTACACGTGCTGTTCCTGGCTGCCACCTGATTAGAATCAGAGAGGGCGACAGGCGGCACACGACCTTGTGCCGTCCTGTGTGATTTTCCCTGAATCAGTTGAGTTCGGGTGACTGCCGACTGCCGACTGCTGTTTCGCTCTTCTCCAGTTTGATTGGGCTCCCATGCCAGCTCTACGCAGCTTGTCCAACGAGGACGTGTCAGTCCGGGCTCTCAGACTCTCCAGGTGTTCGTTGGACCCGGTGAGAGAGGAAAACCCTCCACATGTTCAAAGTAAGCTAGTAGTAACAGGAAGCTAGTAGTAACAGGTGCATCGCTACTAGTAACAAGTGCCTTACTAGTAGTAACAAGAAGCTACTAGGAACAAGTGCCTTACTACTAGTAACAATAAGACTTTAATTAGAAGCCGGGCGAGCTGGGCTCCAGCTGCAGCTTTCCAGTGTGACCGGCTCTGGGATGGCGAGCTGGGGCGACGAAGTTTTGCTCACTGAAGGTGTCTTTTTTAAAGAGATGAAAGCACATGTGCTGGGGTGTATCCATTTTGATGCTCTGTGAGGTTTGCCAAAGGAATGGCGCTCCAACCAACATGATGGTTTCTTTGCAGGGAATTTGGATTGTCCCCCCGTTTTCAAGCAGACACGCAAGGCCAAACCTGGCGAATGTTTTTTTGCTAAAAAATTGGGCATGGATCTGAACGTATGTGGCTAAAGTGAATGTCCAGACCCTCAACAACCAGACTGCAGTCAACCGCTGGAGTGATGATGAGTGCGATCCTGAAGCCAAGGGTCAATATTGGAGACACAACAAAGCCGCCGCCCTTGGCTTCGCACCCATTTGGGCAAGTCTTGTATATCTACAAAGTGCATTTCTTCAACCAAGTCTCAAGTCTGTTTGCATGTTCGACTCCGCAGTAATCGTGGGTCTAAATTCGAGAAGAACTCGGATTACGCTCACCACCATTAAATAGCATGTATGTTGGCTAACTACTGAAAAGGGATAAAGGGCCCAACGACACCACGCCAGGCTTCCTCTGGGATAGGCTTTTCTACCCACGAGCCCACGTGACTGCAGGATATTGGTTCATCAATCTTTCAGAGATCAGGTTTGAACTTGGTGAGCCGCTTCACACTGGTGTGGCCTGACATTTCAAAGCTCGCTTTCATCCACCCCGGAAGCACAGACCTGATGGCTGAACAGTCATCCCTACGCCACGCAGCCGTGTTTCAAGCTTTCTCATGGTCAACCCTAGCGGTGAAGAGTTACCAGCCACAAGTTTCAATCCCTGGCGCGATCCGACACGGCCTTCGAGGAATCCGAACGCGACGCTTTGTTTCACGTCAGACCGCGGCGTTTCAGCAAACTGACCTCCCGTGTTTGAGGTCCAAGGTATCCCTTAGGCCTTAGTTACTTCAGGTCAACATGGCTGTCAGGATTGACTAGTCGGGGTCCGACCTTTGACTCATATGTTGTTTTCTCGCTGAAATGTTCCAGCTAATCTGATATATTCAACTATTCGACTGTTCGATGGATTGGGGCGGGGGTTCGCTTGTCGACTTTTGGATCGCGTAGTCGTCGCCCTCCTGTGCCTTTGTTATTCATTATCGGGTAGCCTTTTGATGCAGATCATGTTGATGTTTTCAAAGAAAACCGTCGAGAGGTACCGAAGACAAGTGTCCAAAGAAAACCGCCCCACCCCACCCCATCCCTTCAAAAAGGAAATGTTAGCGTGAGTGTTAGTCGAAGTGAATGTCATTAGCCCTAGATATACCCCACCCCACCCCACCTCTTCAAAAGGGAAATGTTAGCGTGAGTGTTAGTCGAAGTGAACGTCATTAGCCCTAGATATGAGTGCTAGTCGAAGTGAACGTCATTACCGCCCCACCCCACCCCACTTCAACATCATTGGAATAAAAAATCTGACTTTAACTTGAAGTACATGTCACAATCCCCGATGGCTAAGTGATCCTTTGTTTGGTGGCCAGATTTGTCCATGATCAAGCATCTTCGAGGTCGGCTTCTGGTTGCAGCCCGTTTCACACTGGAACGCAACTCAGCTTGGAATCGATGAAGTTGTTTGTTTCGTTGCATCCCCCCAAAAAATGCAAGTTTGATTGATTAGATTCTGGTCATGCAGACTGCAGACATCCAGCACTTGTTCTCCTTCCAACAGGCCTCATCGTGTGAGGCTAAGGAATCAAAAGACCCCGCCTCCTTCTTGTGGGGGATGACTCGATGACCTACTTTTGACAAACAAACTTGGCATGGCAACTATTATCCATGCTGTGATTATACTACTGTACAACTGAAGAAAGACCATGGGACATGAAACCAATCTCAGTGGATTTGAACAGCGTTCCTGGTCTTTGAAGCGTTGACGCGGTCACTCTATTAACTTAAGCGCCGCGGCGCTGCATCAATATCTTGAACTTGATCATTCCGCAACAACCAATAATGGAAAGCCCTAGTTCGGTATCTCCGCGGTCCCCGGACAGTAGGTCTTTGGGTCCCCAGCATGGATGGGCACTGGAGACCTACTCTGACTGACTAACATGGAAGTGGAAAATGGTCCCTTGGAAGACTACTTTCCTCTTCCATGTTGGTGAGTCGGAGGAGGCCTATTAAAGACCTACAGGAGCGGATTTGGTGAGTGTCGCTACTGCTAGACGATTTCCGTCCTATGAAGACCAGATCCTGAGCACCTGAAGAGGCCCGGTCAGCCACAAAAGTGGTCCGCGCGGTGCCCTCTCCAATCCTTTTATGGTAGACCCTTTCAATCCCTTTCACTATCAGCAGAACGTGTGACCTTTCTGGTCTGGATGCTTGAGACCTTACATGTAGTAAGTCTGTTACTTCTACCATCCGGAAGACCGTCCGGAATGGGAAGAGGGACAAACCGAAGAGTTCAGCCGAGTAGGAGACCTTTGCACGTCTTCAAGGGGGCCACCCCCTCGCACATGAGAATGTCTTGGCAGTGCCAGTCTGCCACACATCCAAGGTGCAGTTGCCTGTGGCGACAGCTGCGGTCGGCTGTAAGGAGAAGGAGAAGGCTTGATCATGCTTGATCCATCATGCTACCAGTGGATGAACAAACACATTGATGGATCTTTCATTAGAATGAGCAAAACCATGCAAATACTGGGTTCAACCGGAGGTCCATGATGATGCCATGTATATAGCCAAATGAAAGTGTGGATGGTCGAGATGTCCGTTATATTTGAAACATATTCACACCGCTTCGCGGTCGAAGCCGCCCGCACGGAGACTGGTGGTGTCGGAACCATGAGGGGCCGCGCACCTATTTTCCCCCACAAAAGCTCTCCACAACGACCACACGCACGATATCAATCGCCTGTTTCCTCGAGAAAAGCTTCTGTCGGGCAGACAGCCTGGACGAACACGCGTACACGATGTCGATAACGCAGTCTGCCCCAGGCTGCAAAACCGGCATCGCGCACGTTGACCTCCGAAGCCATACGGACAATCGATATCACTTTATATTTTTGTTTTATTCATATTCAAAAAACATCCAAAAACCTTCCAAAACACACTATTTCCCAAAATGAGAGGGCCCACCCGGCCCCCCCCCCAAGCTAAAGCTTAAGCTGTTTATCTAGCAGCTGATCTTCCAGTCTAGCCGAGCCGACACAACGCCTCAGCACCTTCGGTGCGGGCGGATTTGAAACCTATGGGGCCAGGAACGAGAACCAGCTGCGCTAGGTCGCTACTTAGTGTGCCATGGAATTCGCGCTTCTTGCTACTATAGTAGTAATGGCCTCCAACCTAATAGATCACTTCGCCCCAGTGAAGTCCCGCCCTCCACCTGGCCCGCCAGATCATCGACCACCCGGTGCCGCCGGAGGAGATGACACGGCGCGGCCAGGCGCTGGCCGCTACAGGAGACTGTGACTGGGAGAGGGTCTTTTCAGAGTGCATGTCGACGCGCCAAGATTTTGGGGTAGCTTTCCTGGTGAGCGGAGTGTTTCTGTTCAAGGTTGCTTTTTATGTGTTTTTGGATCCTAGCAAGGCTTGTGGAAATGTTTCAAGTTTGCTGATGCGGTCTCATAGACCGGTTGTGATATTCAGTTACAGAGTGCAAAGACACTCCCAATACTTGAATCCTTTGCTTACTATGAGACGCGTTGTCTCAGAGCATCTCTCGAACAACCCAAGATAATCAGAGACATCCTAGCACTATGCTTCGAGAGTCTCAGGAAGATGCCACATCCGGGCGTGGGTCTAAACTACAGAGGGAATTTCCTATGGCAATGTCCCTTGAATTGAATTTAAGAGCTTTGGAAACCACGATATACACTGATTTTGCAAAGGTATTGCTTCGTGCAGTTCTTTATTCCCAACCCCCTCAAGTGCCATAGTGGGTGATTTTTCCTCAAGGTCGAGTCAAATAAGTGTATTATATATATTTGTTTTTTAAATAGGGAAAAACACACCACAGGTGAATTCTGGAACGTGTAAACACTGCGTCCGATGTTTAAAGGTGAATCTTCTTTCGGCCCGTCCCCACAGTTCACTCCTTGGGGCCGAACACCGCACGGCGCCGCACGGCGCCGCACGGCGTCGTCGTTTCGTGAGGAGATCCCTGCGCCGCTGCGTGAAATGCGGAGGAGCTACCCGTGTGTTGAAAGAAGGATGTGATAGACCGTTGAAGCATCTGAATCTGATGTGCACAACAGGAGATTAAAAAGTGTCCGAATGAGGGGGTGTTGCTTTAGTTTACTTGCTCCTTCTATGCATGTCTAGTGCCAGGTCTGCTGCGGTGGAACCCCCCAACACTGGCCTTGAGAGCCCAGATGACACATTGAACCACCCTCCTCATCTAAACCACGAACCAGGTGAAGGGTCCAATGATTGATCTCCTGCACATGTAGCTCAGACTGTCTGGGAACCTTAAAACCCACCTCGAGTCGTCCTTTTCCGAGGCTCCAGCCTTTACACCTGGGCAGATGTGGCCAGGCGGACCTTCTTCAGAAACGGCGAGATGCATGAGATCCCCAGACCACTGATGGTGTCAGTCTATTTTCCCTTACCTTAAGGGGTTTGAGGCATTATATGACTCAAGAATAGATACGGGATGCTTCAAGAAATATCAAATGCAGACGGGACCATGTTCACTTGTGTGGCAGGTATGCAAGCTGCAGGCATGCGAGAACAGCGTTAAAGGCGAGGTGGTCGGAGATTTACAGTTGATGACAAGTTGATGGCGTCTTTGCAAAGCTGGATGTACACAAGTCAATAGAAGTCACAAGTCATGGTTTTCTTCCATCAATCGCATCCGTGCTATTTTCATTGCAGTGAAAGCACTGGGTTGTTTGACACCTGTAGATTCAGCTTTGAGGACTCTTTGCCTTCATCCAATAAGCACATTTCAACCAACCGCACTGCAAGGCGTCCATTTAGCTCGCCTGTGCTTCGGCTATAGATATGGTTGATTCATGTTGATTCATACACATTGGTGTTCCCATCCCAGTGTTCGGAGCAGGTCTCACCTTCGACAGAGTTTCTTCCTGCGATCTTGAGATGAGTTTGATTTCCAGATGAGGTGGGATAAGCATTGGTATCTTGTTTTCAACAGACATGCCCAATCACAGAGAGGTGCCAAATAAACAATATAGGTCATTTGGTTGCGAAAATCCTGGTATGAATTCAAGTGAGAGTGGCATGCTGTTGTCTCAAAAAGAATAGTGAAAAGCCTGGGAAGATGTGAAGATGGGACGCATGTTCAACACACGTTTACTCGCATGGTTGAAGGCCCCCTGACTGTGAATATCATCGAATATCCACATAACAAATCTTATTGCTGCAATCATTAACATCCAACTAGCAATCAAATGGATAAATCGATAATTCATATTCATTCCAAAGAGCTCCACATGGATGATCGGAAATCGAGAAAAACCAAGGGGTTGGTTGATGTCCTTCGCAGCCTAGGTCGGTGGCAATGCTGAGCAAACTTGAATGAACTTGTTCTATTCGGGGGAAATAATATCACATAATAAAAATATTATACATAAGCGCCATTTCAGCCTCGAGTTACGGCAGCCATTTCCTTGTAGATCTTCCCGCCATTTTCTTTGCTTTGTGCTCTGGAATTTTCGGCCGTCACTTCATTGATGATTGTTTACATCTGGCTGCACTTCTTTCTGTCAGGACTAAGGCTGATTTCCCTGGTCCCAAGTCCAGGGCCCATGGATGCCAATGCTCCGCCTTTCATACCGAGCGGAACCATGGGTGGCGTGAGGGTTGTTCGGGACTCCTCAATCCCGGATGAGAGTGGAGAGGTTTCCTTCACTCGACAACGGCGCTTCTCCACGAAGCCTTCTGAGGTATGGGCCAGAGGAGGCTACGGCCTTGTCGTCTCTCGGCCGCGCATCGTTCAGATCAAAAGGACATACAAGAGAGCCTGCTTCCGAGCACTACAACATGGCTACACGCCTTACAGAAACGGCTACCTTTTTGATACTGATGTGCCATGGCGCCTTCGAGAAGCCTACAGACGCCACTCACAAGTCAAAATGAAACAGCGGACGCCACAAACGACTCCTGGCCTTCGGTGCATGACCTGGAATGCATCGAAGAACTTGGTCCATGATGAGCTGTTGCATTGGTGTAATTCCCAACCTCTGGACATCATTGCCTTGCAGGAAACTGGTTGGAACTTCAACTCCACCTGGACGTCCCAGGGCTGGCATTGTATACACTCATCGACGAAACATGCAGCCATCCTGGTCCTCATTCGAGGTACCTTGGCCAGACCTGAACAGATTGCCTCGGCCTCACACTTTGATGGCCGACTTCTACAGATCCGCCTTTTCTTGGACTGCACCTATGACTTCATCGTTGTTTATCAACATGCCTGGAACGCCACCAAAGGCAGGGACAAGCTGCTAGAAGATCGTGCCAAGATTTGGAATAGCTTGCAGCAGCTTCTGAATCATGTTCCGCAGCAGCACCAAATGGTCCTGATGGGTGATTTCAATACCACCCTCAGGTTCGATCCGCCGCACATCAATAGCCATGATGCCCGTGCATCCTTGACCACTCACACTGATCGTGACCTTCTTCAACACTTGTTGAAAGCACAGGACCTGATCGCGTTGCATTGTAAACAGCACTATGCTTCAACCTTTGCACATGGATCCCATCAGTCACGCATAGATTATGTTTTTGTTCGACAACATCAGGTTCAATTTCGTCGTATGCAACCCACCATGGATAGGAATTTTATGCGCAACTTCGGATGTCATGGACCTCATCATCATCCTTTGTTCTTTGTCCTGCCCAGGTGGTTTGCGCCTCGGAAACCGGTGCTTCCTCTCAACAACATTGATAGATTTGCCCTCCGTACGGCTGGACTTGAGCACACTGCACACTGGCAGCAGTTCGAGGTTCAGATTCGTCAGTGCATCACCAGACACTGTCCGCCTCAACAACCGCCTGAGGTCCCCATGCTTGTTTTGGAACAAGAACTTAGAACCATTTGTTCTCTTTATTTTCCCAAACGCAAACAACGGGTCCCTCATGCATCCCATATTCCCTCCATGGCTGCCAGGATGTGGAATGCCCGCAAGCAGGCTCTGGCAGTCCGAGGCTGCTGCATTCGCGATCTCTTTGAGTGTTGGGCTCATATCACAACCTTCCGAACCCTTCACAAGGCCATTCGTAAACAGAGCAGACAGAACAAGAGGGACAAACTGCACACGATCCTCACCGAGGGTGCTGATCTTGCCCTTCATGGACGCATTTTTGACTGGTACCGGAAGATAAGGCTCCTCTGTCCGAAACAAAGACCGAAACGCATTCAGCTCTTTGATACTCATGGCATGCCTTTAGCACCCAGACAAGAGTTGGACTCCATCGAAAGCTACTATACACAACTGTTTGCTGATCCGCAGTTTGTAGTCCGGGAACTCGAACCCCTCACCCGACTTCCCTTTGACCGCCAGGACGTACTTACTGAGCTTTTGCACCTGCCAAGCACAAAAGCCCTGGCACCAAACGGACTGCCAGCTCTAATCTGGAAGCATTTCGCGCATGATCTTGTTGATCCTTTAATGCATCAGATTCAGCAGGTTTGGCTTCGATATCCCGTAAACCTTCCGGATCACTGGACAACAGGATGGATTCACCTTCTCACTAAACCCAATAAATCCCCAAGCAAACCCCAGGCACTCAGACCGATCTGTCTTCAGCACCCGGTCAACAAGATTCTTGCCGGAATCCAATGCAGGCAGATCGTTCTACAGACGTTCGACAGACTTAGACGTCTTCCACTCTATGCGTACTTGCCTCACAGAGGGACACGTGAATGTCTTCTTATCGTAGCCGAACATTGGAGAAGTGTACGCATGATGTGCAAGGATGTCAAGACTGGTACTCAGCCTAAGCTGCTTGACTCCAGGTTTCATTAGATATGGAAAAGGCATTTGACACGGTAAGCCGTACCCTTGTGCTCAGAGCCTTGAAGCAGTACCATTTGGACCCTGACCTCTTTCAACTTGTGCATACGTGGCTCACCCCCCCATAAGTACTGTATTCCCTTCAAGCAATTGATCGGACAAATCCATGCACATAGAGGAATCAAACAGGGGGCCAAAGATGCCCCCTTACTATGGACCATCACCATGAGTCTCGTACTTGTTGATCTCCAAAACAAATACTCCCATCAATGGCTTCATGAGCACATGGTCGTCTACGCAGATGACATCCACCTACGGTGGCTAATTCGATCGACAGCCCAAGCCCTTGAAGCACTCACTGACCTTCAACATGTGTTGATGACTCTTCAAGCCTTTGGGTTCAATGTCAACCTTCACAAGTCAGTTGCCATGCTTCGACTCCAAGGGAAAGAGGCCCCTGCCTTCCTTCGTCAATGGGTTAGTAGACCACCCACTGGCCCTGTCCTGACACTGCCCGAACGTCGCTGGCAGCTACCGCTCGTGTCGAAAACAGCGTACCTTGGAGTCATTATAGGTTATCGAGCATGGGATGCAGACACTACTGCTCGTAGGATCACAGCAGCCAAATGGTGCTTCCGCAATCTCAGGTCCTGGCTTGTAAGTGATGTCCACCCCATTCGAACCAGACTTAAGTTGTACAAGCAATGTGTACTGGCCACGGTTCAATATGGCATACATGAAATGGGCTTGACTCAAAAAGGATTCAGACAAGTCATTAGCATGATCAACACACATCACCGGTCGAGTGCTCACTCACTTGTGTGTCTCACTCATGAATCCACGTCCCATTTTTTTGAACGCATTCGTGAACCACCTCCATGGACCACCATCCTCACCCAACGACGGAGGATCCAAGAGGCCCTGTCGACAAGACGGGCACGCCTCCGCCTTGAAGCCATGGACAGCGAGATGCCGGATGTGTGTGTGTTCGTCCCAGATCTCTGGATTGAACCCTTGGTCAACCCACCTGATCTACCATCCACCATGGATTGCACTCAGGCAGTGGCTTGTCCGGAATGCCATCGAACCTTTATGCAGGCAGGAACGCTGAAACGTCACATGAGGCAGGTTCACCAGGTCCCATGCGAGCCAGACGACATTTTTCTGCCTTTATGGGACGCCTGGCAAGGACGTTCGAT